CTGTCTTCCCCCATCCATTTCTCCTCTCTTTTCCTCCTGTCTTTTACAAAATTATATAAGCACATCACAGCATTTTTGATTGCAGAATAGTAAGTTAGGTTTGTTCCTATTTTGTAACTGTAGAGAGATGCTTATTACACATTATTTCTTTCACTTGGAGTAGCAAACAATCCTAACATTTTGCAGTTTCTGCATAGATGGATGGATTTCTCTTCTTGTGTGACTTTACAGCAGACAGTATCTTTGGAGCACAGCATACATTTAAYTTTTACTGTTAATATAAATATCAAAATAAGGCATAGTTTACATCAGGAATATGACAATGTATTTTCTTCCTTTGTCTCTAACTTTTTGGAAACATCAGGTTTTGATTTCTGCTGTGAATCAGATTCAAATGCTGGGGCTAATTCTCTYTAATGCTGCAATTTATTGGTTTGGTCTTTCTCTTCTGTCTCACCTTTCCTAGCACAAAGTCCATCTTTGGTTCAGAAATTAGAAATTAGTTTCAGAAATTAGCAGAAAATGTATATTAAAATGGATAACATAAACTTTGTACATTCTTGTGTAAATGCTATGTGGTRCATTCTAATAAATGCTGCAGATCTTAGAAACCACAGACTTCAACCTCTCAGAATCCTCTTTATCCTGGCAGGTGGATACATTGCAAAATGTTTTGGTTAATTTACAAATAAGATTTTTTCATTACTGGTGAATAACACAGCAGCATTTTCCATCCCTTTTCTAAGCTTGGGGTCTGCTCAGACACCAATATTTGCTGCTTTACACGGCTGGGAGATATTTGAAATTCTCTTGCCAGTATTTTAGATTAATACATGTCTGCACATTACACTGATAAAATGTCAGTTTTAGTATCACTGCTCTAAGAGTCAAACAATTTTCATTTKAAACACAGGATGTTAGTTAGATTCAGATCAGTTAGGCTGGTGAATTTGTGAGTGCTGTTAAAGGGAGTTGCCCTTTTGGGTAAAATCTGACCTTGTTGGTTTTTTTCTGTCCTTAGAAGCGTTCCCACTTCACACAAAACAAGGTTGAGCGCAGTGAACTCAAACCACAAAAAAAGCACCCAAAATGCTGTGCCCGTGGCAGTTTGTGTTCAAGCCTCGTGCTGCCAAGAGCCAGTCCCCCAAAGAGAAGGACATCAACAACAACGTGGAGAGAAATAGGAAGATCCATGGGTAAGATCCTGTTTTTTAATGGTTTTGTGGTTTATCTTTGATTCGGGATAATCTTTGAAAGGGAAGATATTAAGAGGTTTGAGTTCTGGAGAAACCTGAAATGTGTTTCCAAARCACTGATTTTAACCAAGGAGCTGGGGGTTCCTGGGTGCTGTAACTTTGTAATGAACATTAAACTCTTGTGTCTAAGTTATACAGTCATTGAGGATATAAATCATCCAGATTTCTCTTTCAAAGTCTTAAATTTGTTTGGTGTGTTATAATGGTTTCATGTATTCTAAAGCTCAGAAGGTGTGTATGTTATAAAAATAACAAAGTGACTATAGTGTAATTAAGTTGGTGAAGTATTTCTGTGATGCAATTCATACATGACACTGTATAAAATAAACTGCACATGCATCTCCAATTTCTCAGTCCTCAGGGTGTCACTTATTTCAGGTTTCCTACTCTGTTTTCCTTCCTTTGCTTTGCCCTGGGAAGGGGATACAGAGGCATTGTCCCTGCTGGGTTATGGCTCACCCCAATTTCACAGAGCATCCCCTGCTGCTGCTGAAAGCAAAGCTAAATAAACTGAGCACTCTGCTGTGTTTTCTGAATTTTCTTTCTCTCTGTTGAAGCTCTGAAAAGGATGATGCCAAATTGCAGGATGCAGACAAGAAGCAGATGGAGATTCCACCTATGGTAACTTTGGCAAAGGCTGCTGAGGGAGGAGAGGTCTGTACATTTATCATTATTTCATAGTAACAATTCACATGAGAGGTGTTTGCTGCTCAAAACTGCTCCAGGTTCTCCTGGGAGCTCTGACTCCTTTATTCATTCTTGCAAACCTTTAGTAACAAACCTGTCCTGTCTCTAAAATTGGTTCACTCTAAAATTAATTCACTGTTTTCCAGAGAYTGTGACTTATGCTTGCAGATGAGGGCATATTAAAATTACAAAGGTGTTTTCAGTGGCAGACACTGTTTGATAACAAAAATACTTTTTCTGCCCATTTCATATCAAACTGTAAATTAGCTCAATAGTTTTGTAGTCAAGTAAATRCTCATGTTGGAGCAGATCACATTTATATCTGGTTTCTTGAATTTAATTTTAAATATTTTGATGTTAATATAAAAGCTAAAATGAAACTGAAAGATACTGAATAAGTCTGAAGACAGTATACATTTTTATCTGTTCTCTGTCCAGAATCTCCCTCAAAATGGCATCAAAGTTTCAAACCAAATATCAGGRTGTCCAAGACATGTAAGAGTAAGAAACTTGGAAAATGGATCCAGCTTTCTTGACACACTACACCTGACAGCAAAAGAGGTAAAAYATGGAAATCTGAACACGGATTTTTGTGAAATTTTAAAAGATACAGAGTRCAACATTGTTTTTTGACATTTTCTTGTTTTTCAGGTTATCAACTGTCGGGCCAAAGCCTGCCAAGGGTCTCTCATGACCCCAAAGGGGCTGGTGAGAGGTACCAGAGATGGGCCAGTTCCACTGGAAGAGCTTTTACCTCAGGCAATAGACTTCATCAAACAATACTACAGTTCATTTAAAGAGTAAGCCAACTTTAGTTTTGGTATAAAAAAACTGCCAGTCTGTGTGTGAGCCTCCAGGAGGGCTTGGTTTTTACACAGCTCTTGGTAACTATCCTGTTACATTGCATGCATCCAGAAACACATGAGGACTATTGGAAAAGCTGAATAAAACTGTAATTGCACCTCTGCCAATCCAAGGTTTTGGGAACCCAGGGAAGGACTCTGGAGCAGGAATTCCTCAACCCCATCCATCCCTACATTTCAGCACATTGAGAACTCTGCCAGAGCATTCCCTTCTGTTTTCTTGGCAGAAGAAATTCCATTCTGTTGGTGGGCTCAGTCTCAGACATGAGCAATGTGGAATAATGTGTTTTGTCTGTGCTGCTCCCAAGTATCTTTTCTCTGTGTTCCTCTCAAGGCTTTAGGCAAAGATTGGAAGGCCAATGTTGCTTCTCCCCCTTGCTCTGTGCTATCAAAATGAGCTCAGGGAGCATTCAGAGAGGGGTTTGTGTTCTCACAAAAATGGCCATGGCCATGCCAAGAGGGATCTTGCTGCAGGAAATGCTGGAAATGCAGCTGATTGATGTCCAAGGGTTTGCAGTGACATCTCATGATGAGMTTTCCAGCAGCAGTTCAGTGTTTGCTCATCCCATTAGAAAACATTCTCAAACTTCCAAAGGGACTCAGCCACATAATGGCCACTCCTTTAGGCACTTTGAACTGTTTACAAATCTTTCTTTCCTCTGARTCTTTCTGAAAGTCCCTGTCTTACCCAAAGGCTGTCCTCACCAGCCTATTGCATTTGCACATCTCTGTGTCCCTGCTCGTGGCTGTTTGATCACATTGATTTACACTATCTCACATGCTTGCCCTTGATCTTTCATCTTGCTGAAAATGTGAAAACTCTCAGACAGTGCAGGCTATTTTCATTCTGTCTGTAAGACAACAAAACAATTTTTGTCTGTGCTGTGATAAATATTTTCTAATGTTTTGACTTACTCTCTGTTATCAAGCTCAAGAATTTCAGAGTTGGTTTCCCTGACAAAGGAATTGCTCAGCACTTCTTTTCAGGAATGAAAATCCTACTTACTTTACTCAGAAGAGCTGTGGCCTTGTGAAAAGAATGGAACTTTGAGAGGATAGTCACTCTCAGTCTGCATTTGCCCTGAAACTCASCTATTCTCTGTTTTCAYTTGCTTGTGATTTTTTTCCAAATTAATCTAGAAAATCCAAATTTAAACTCACCTATTCTCTGTTTTCAYTTGCTYGTGATTTTTTTCCAAATTAATCTAGAAAATCCAAATTTAAACTGCAGAGTTACGCAGAATAGCTTGTGATCAATCCATGCATGTGCTGGGTGGTGAAAGGATGGATGGATGAAAGGATGGATTAAATTTCTAGTGTGTTGGTTTCTTCATGAGGCCAGTAAGCTCTGTCATTTCTCTGCATAGACAAGTCTTCAATTCTGAAGCCAAAATATAAAGAGAACATCTTCACTTTGAATTAAATTTTCATTGTTCCTTTTCATGCCTGTTCCCTTTTTCAAAAGGCCAAAAATCAAAGAGCAGCTGGACCGACTGGAAGCAGTGACCAAGGAGATAGAAAGGACAGGAACGTATCAACTGACCAAGGATGAGCTGATCTTTGCTGCCAAGCAGGCCTGGAGAAATGCACCCCGGTGCATTGGGAGGATCCAGTGGTCCAATCTGCAGGTGAGTGTGGATCTACACCTAAACTGTGACCAAATTGTCCTCTGCTGTCACTCCAATGTCCTTTCCTTTGGTAGGACATCAACTGCTTCAGCTGAGGAGTTCTCCCTCCTCTTCATATCACAGATCTTTTGGTTTATTTTGTAATTCTCTGCTTCATAGCTGAGTGAAAATGAGTGTAGGAAGCAGGTGTGTCCCAGAACCAGCTGCATGTTTTGATCCTTGGTGATAGTTATGTGTGAAAATGATGCATRTATAGACTATAAAAACAAACCTTTCCTAGTGGAGCTGCAATCTTTCCATTCCTTAAGTGCATAGGAAAAATAACAAGCTTGCATGACTGTTTTGGAATTAGTCTTCTTTCCATTTCTGTTGGAAACATGCAGGTGTTTGATGCACGGGAYTGTAAAACAGCCAAGGAAATGTTTGAGCATATGTGCCGTCATATTCAGTATTCCACAAACAATGGAAATTTAAGGTAGGTCTCTTTCATTTTAAGCAACAAAAATCACATCCAGATCTGGCATCAAAAACACATTAAATGGTCTATCTAAATAYTTTGACAACTTGTCTCTACTCTTAATTTTCTGGTACTTACACRTTCCTCTCATGTGTTCTGTCAACCATCTTGAAATTTTATAACTCCCATGGCTGATTTGCAAAACCCTTTGGAAAAGGGGGGAAAAGAGATGATTTGAACATTCAGGAAAGTGGGTAAAGAGGATGAATGGTTTTATTTCTGCTGGTGCTCATTTTAGAAATATAAAATATTTTCTGTTGGTGATGATGTGTGTGTGAACACACAGTGAGGATGTGTTTGATGTGCTTTGTCCCGGGGCAGATCTGCCATCACGGTGTTCCCGCAGAGGACGGATGGACAGCACGATTTCCGCGTGTGGAACAGCCAGCTGATCCGCTATGCTGGGTACCAAATGCCAGATGGCTCCATTTTTGGGGACCCTGCCAATGTGGAGTTCACACAGGTACAGCTCCAGATCACCATCACTGCTCCATCTCAGCCAGCCCGGATCTCTGGGGCTTTTCCTCGAGTGTTTATGCAGTGGGAGGGGGTGAGTGTAGGGAGTGTTAACATGGGAGAAAAACACCACCTCCTTGGCTGTCTTGAGAAAAAGAAGATTAGAATGTAGAATTGATAATGCAGGTGGCTTACAATTATAAACATTACTAATACTGTAGCTTTTGCAAACCTACCAATCCTATGCTGATGAGTAAAAGGTGACAGCCTCACTAACCAATGTATGTTTAACACAAATGTATGCACTGGTTGCTAAAGTGGATAAAAGAGGCCTGTCCCAGAATAAAGGGGTTACTTTTTGTGTGTATATATGTGTGTCTTTGTGTCTGTTATTTTGTGTTGGCTGTCTGGCCAACAGCGACAGATGAGGAGTGAATGGGATGTTCTGCCCCACAGGTTTTAGGTGCAGACTGGAACAATAAATCCCTACAGTTCAGATATTGAAGTGCTGCCCTCCATCTCAGAGCAGGGTGAGCCAATTCTGCCAGGGAACAACCAGGGACACAACCAGAACTTCATCAGCATTGTTTGAATGAAAAAAAGAACCTTTTTCACTTAGAATTTACCTCTGCAGCTTTCAGAGAGTTAAAATTCTTTTGCCTTCAGATCTGGAGGAGAAACCTGAAAAAAAAAAACCACAGAATGTGCTTTCTGTATTTACAGTTGTGCATTGATCTGGGGTGGAAGCCGAAATATGGCCGCTTTGATGTACTTCCACTTGTTCTGCAAGCAAACGGCCAAGACCCAGAAATATTTGAAATACCTCCAGAAATTRTCCTCCAAGTGCCAATGGAGCATCCAAAGTAAGCACACAAGATTTAGATAATTGAATTTTTGCCTCTGCTTCACCTTGGCAGGTTACTGTGCTGCGCCTGTGGCAGTTGTTTTATGAGTTCTTTGTCAGGATGAAATGATGGTAAATTATCCTGAAAGATAAAATGCCTGTTAGAACAATGAAATAGGATGTAAATTAAAGAAGCAAATGGCAGTTTTGTTGGAAATCTTTTTCCCCAATCTACATTTCAATTACATTCAGATTTTTTTAAATCATAATTTTTTATGTCAGTGTAATATTCATGTAAAATATGGCTGCACTCATAACAAAGTGTTTATTGCCTTTCTCTCATTGGTTTTTTTTCTCTTTGTTTGCTTTGGGACTGGCCTGCAGATTGTAGAACTCTGTAGTAGGATTCTGCAGTCTCTGGAGCTGGTGATTCCCAGTTACTGGAAATGGTGATTCCCAGTTCCTGCAGACCCTGCCCCAGGGYCCCTCCTGGAACTGCTGCTCTTTGTCTTTTCTGGTTATCACCAAAAGGAGGAACAGCCACAAACAATAACTCCGGGCTCCTTTGCAGGTACGAGTGGTTCAAGGAGCTGGATCTGAGGTGGTACGCGCTGCCTGCGGTGGCCAACATGCTGCTGGAGGTGGGAGGGCTGGAATTCACTGCCTGYCCCTTCAATGGTTGGTACATGGGGACAGAAATTGGAGTGAGGGACTTCTGTGACGTGCASCGCTACAATATCCTGAAGGTACCTGCTCAGGGCAGGGGCTGGGGGAAGGGGAGTCAGCTTGGTGCAAGAAAAGCTTGGGAAAAAAGCCACTATCAGTGTTCACTGGGATGGAGAGAACCACTCCCTCCTTTATGAAACTGCAACATCCTCAAGAACCAGAATTCCAAAATTCCAGTGTGCCTTTCATCTCAGGTGCTTCTGCTGCCATCGCTTTCCCCAGCGTGTGATTGGCTCTTTCCCCTGCTGCATTTTTCCTGATACTGATGTGATGAGATGGAGAAATCATGGGGTTTAAATAAATCTGGTTTTTCCCTTTTCTCTCTCTTTTTCACGTGTAGGAAGTAGGGAGGAGGATGGGTCTGGAAACAAATAAACTGTCSTCGTTGTGGAAGGACCAAGCAGTTGTAGAGATCAATGTGGCTGTGCTTCACAGCTTCCAGGTGAGTCCCTGAGAGTGCATCTGGACATCACTCATCACTCACTGTCCCCTTWTCCTCTCACTCAGTGGACATGACATTATGATTCCCCTAAAGTTCTTCTTGATTTAAGTAGAGAAATCCATATTCCCTCAYATGTAAAGGCAGAAGGAAGAGAAAAAGAAAAGGAAGTTGAGATTTTTCATCCTTGTAACACATTTATCTATGTGTCGAAACCCATGTAAATCCTTTGGATTAATATATTTTATTTTTAATTCCAGTTCATTTAACATACCATGACAATATGAAAAGTGAGTAAAAGTGAATCAGAGGCTTTGTAGTGCACACTCCCAGTCTGCAGAGGGAAAATGCTGATGTAAAGGAAAAGATCTAAGGGTTCTGAATCAAAGGCCTGCGCTTCAATCTGTATCTTTACAGTAACTGCTGATAAAATTTATTTCCCAGCCCTGAGTAAAGTCCTTGAAATATTGACCAAAGCAAGCGGAAATCTTTAGCTCCAGCAGGCAGAAGGGCAGAAYAGGGGTTTTAATGCAGGTTTTCCTKTTTGCCSTGGTTGCAGAAGCAGAATGTGACCATCATGGATCACCACTCGGCCGCTGAGTCCTTCATGAAGTACATGCAGAGCGAGTACCGCGCGCGGGGCGGCTGTCCCGCAGACTGGCTCTGGATTGTGCCTCCCATGTCAGGCAGCATCACCCCTGTGTTCCACCAGGAGATGCTGAACTATGTCCTCAGTCCCTTCTATTACTACCAGGTACACATCATCARAGGGAAAATCCAGCAGACAATTGCAGTGAGATGAGATACGGGACCTGGGTACGTCACCAGTCTGGGTGACAGGTCCTGCTCCGTGCAGGTTCACTCGACAGTCAGGAGTAGCAGACAGGARCTGTTTTATGTGGGAGGGGCTGTTAGTTCTGGCTTTGATTCTCTGGCTTTAAGTAAAATGCAGTTTAATACACCAGAGACTAATCCCATACTTGTACTCAGTGGATTGTACATACAGATTCTATTTGATCTGGCCCTTTAAAGATACACAAATTGTTTCTTTGCTATTTTGCATTTCTTACCTAAAGCTTATTTTTTTTTAAAGGTGGATGCATGGAAAACACATGTATGGCATGATGAAACCCACAGGCCAAAGAAAAAAGAAATAAAGTTTAGCATCTTGGCAAAGTAAGTTATTCAAAGAAGATTCTTCGTGCTCTGTCCAACTATTCTATTCTTGTGATGTTTCTGTTCTACTTCTTAAAAAAAAAATTTTTTTTAAAAAAAATACAAAAGTAGGGACCACTTGAGTGGTTTGAATCACAGCCTTACCTGTTCTCACTGAGGGAACATTCCTGTCTAAGGTTCTTGCTCAGAGCTGTTTAGTGTGTGTTTGTTCTGAACCATTTTCCAAGGAAAGCCATGCTCGAGCTCAGCCTTTCCTAGCAGGTTTGCAAATCAATCTGAATTAGTGCAGAGACATTARCAGTTGTGTGTGATGGTTCTTTCCCCAGGGCTGCACTCTTCACATCGTCCCTGATGCGAGGAGCAATGGCCACCAGGACCAAGGTCACCGTGATTTACGCGACAGAGACGGGCAAATCAGAGACCCTCGCCAACAATCTGAGCAGCCTCTTCAACTGTGCCTTCAGCACCAAGGTGAGGGCTGCAAATCCATGGGGGGACAGCAGTTTCCATGCTCCAAACCTGGCTTTTGAATGCTCAGTAAAATAAGTTGGACTAGCACTTTGATTTTGCATTCATTTAATGYAATGCATTGTAAGTTTGGTCAGAGGTCATCTGAGATATCTAAGGCTGCTATCTTATGTCTGCTAGCAATGTCTCATRAGCTTTATTCCTTCCAGGTTCTGTGCATGGATGATTACAATATCCATGACCTGGAAAATGAAACACTTCTTTTAGTGGTTACCAGCACTTTTGGAAATGGAGAYTCTCCAGGGAACGGAAAGGTAATGTTCACCTCAGCAGTGTGGATGAGACTCAGCTCAAAGGCCAAAGACATTTGKCTCATRTCCTTGAGTAAGATATGGGTTTCAMTTCTGTTTTCAACCAGGGTATTCTTCTAACCTTAAATATTTTATGAATTTTTATGCAGACCTTGAAGGACTCCTTGCTCAGACTGAAACTGCTGAGAAAAAAAATTAGGTAAAAATACTTTGTGGCTTGGTTTGTATTGGGTCCTTTTACACTCCATGTAGAATAAGACAGCAATGTTCTTTTTTATCCTTYTGCAGATATGCTGTGTTTGGTCTGGGCTCCAGCATGTACCCAGAATTCTGTGCCTTTGCTCACACCATTGACCAAAAATTGGCCCAACTTGGGGCCTCCCAGCTCGTTCCAGTGGGGGAAGGGGATGAACTCAATGGGCAGGAGGAAGCTTTCCGCAGCTGGGCAGTCAGTGCTTTCAAGGTGAATACAGAAATACAGCTCTTATTCCAGGCATTCATCCATTTTAGTTCAGTTCACATAAAAATGAGGGAAAATGGAGGAAAYCAAACGTCTGAATTYATGTTTGAACTTGYAACTCCCCTTTTCTCTACTGGTTGCCTAAGCTGGAGAGGGAACTGGGTCCCTTTTCTATTATTTTGTAATATTCACACAAACTTGCATGAACCCCTTTGGATAAAGGAATGCTCAGTATGAACAAGGGTAGCATCAAACATCAGCATTTTTTGCAGTGGATCTTTTTAGAGCCATGATGGTATAGAAGTGGAACCTTACTGAACTCACTGAACACATGCAGTAGGAGCAATAAAAAATAGAAATCTGTGAAATTCATAGCTCCTTGTTAGGATTATGATAACACTACGATTTTCTTTTTTTTACTGTGAATATTTTGTGGTTTTTATCTAGACTGCCTGTGACATTTTCAATGTCCGTGGGAGACACAGTATTCAGCTGCCTGAGGTCTACACCTCTGAGGAAAGCTGGGACCCAAACAGGTACAGGATAGTGCCTGACTCTCAGCCCATGGACCTGAACAAAGGTATTGTCCCACCTTCCCCTCCCCTGCCTTTGCTCTTCACATGGGACTGAAATGTGAATGTTTCTCAGAAAGGCTTTTGGCCCTGCTGGATGGTAAAATGCATATAAGGGGGTACAGTGGTCAGATTTAAAAATCCACTGGTTTACATTGTGTAAGTTCTCTTTTCCAGTACARTGACACTGGAACTATCACACATTTAGACAGCACCAGAGGAACAAAAAAAACAAAAGCTGAGATGAAGTGTTTTTAGTCAGGGATTGTGGCACACACAACTGACTGATGGTCAGTCACCTTCTAGGGCAGGCATGGTTCAGCTCTTCTCTGTAKAATATCTGAATTCATTTTAAACAAACCTAATCACAGAGTTACCAAGAGCCATATCCTCTTTTCTCACCAGCTCTTGCAAGCATTCATTCCAAAGATRTAATTCCCATGAAGCTGAAATTCAGGCAGAATCTTCAAAGTTCAAAGTCCAGGTATGTCACCTTGTTCTTTTGAACACTGCAATACCACATTTTACTAAAATTGTACACATATAAAGTGCCTGCTTATAAACATTTTCTCCCTGAAGTTATTTATTACAAAATCTATATGGATTTTGTGCTGTCCTTAGCAGAAGCATTTGAGCTGTKCAGTCTGCAGTGGGGCTGCACTTTCACTGCTGATTCCAAACATGTTCATTCTGTGCTGGACAGAACTTCCCAATTTGTTTGGATACAAGTGCTYCACATACCTGGGCTCTGATTTGTTTAAGCCTCTGTGAAGTCCTAAGCTGGTCTGGTATTTGGTAATGAACACAAGTCTTTTCCAGCTGCCACTGCAGATTTATTCCTTTCCTGTTCAATCCAAGGGAAATCCTGTCAATGTAACCAAAATCTGTCTCATTTCTCTTTCCTCACTCTGCAGTCGTGTCACCATTCTGGTTAAACTTCGCTGTGAGACTGATCAGGAAGTGCATTACCTTCCTGGAGAACACATTGGGATTTTTCCAGGCAATCACCCAGAATTAGTGCGTGGAATTATTGCTCGTGTCAAGGACGCCCCTGCAGCTGATCAGATTGTCAGGCTTGAAACCTGCATTGATGGTAAGTTGGGTCTCTTTAAAGTATAACAGAGGATGTTGGACAGATTTCATTAAAATTCCTGTGAATTTTTATTGACTGCATTTGATTCTGTGATCGTTTTCTTAAGTTTCAGTAGGATTTTGTCGCTGCTTTTTAGTTATTCTTATCATTTTTTTATTCTAATTTTGCACATTCTGGCAGTCCATGGTCACTTCACCAGGTTTGCAGAGGTACCTGAGCTGGCACTGTTTGTAATTCAGTTGCTGAATTGGCCATTGGCTGCTGATTAATCAATTAAATTAATCAACAGTTTGCTTATTGTTGCTACATGTAAGAGTCCTAAAATAGACTTATATACCCTGCCCATGTTTCCCATCTCAATAGCAACAATCATAGGATTCTGGCACTCAGAAAGATGATTTCCTCAAATGAAAAATTAATTTTCCTAGTGCTGTTTTGTTGTCATGAAGTTTTGTGCATCAGATCCTCCCCTTACAGAACATCCAAACCCTCACATTTCCCTCTTTTCAGAAGAGCCCTGTGCTGGACCTGCTGCACCCTCACCTGAAGGGGAATTTTGAAGGTTACTGAGTTTTGCAAACCTCCATGAAATCCCATGGGTGTTGCCAAATGTCCTTTTATTTCCTTTATTTCCAGGTGGCTACTGGACAAGTCACAAGAAGATTCCAGCCTGCACTCTCACTGAGGCTCTGACATATCTGCTTGACATCACCACTCCACCCTCCCAACAACTGCTGAGAAAACTCTSCCAGCTGGTGACCAAGGAAGGAGACAAACAGAGGCTGCAAATGTTGTGTCAGGTGAGCYCTGGGGCTGCATTTCATTTCCAGGACAGTTCAGATGCCCTTTGACTCTGCAGCAAAAGCTTCAGAATTTTGTGTAGTGATGGATTTTTACTCCTCTGTTACATATTCTTGGAAAGCTGAGCACAGTGAGAGAAAGAACAATCTTGAAGCTGAGTTTGGGCGTGGGAARCACGCTCTGGGTTTCCTGTGTGGTTCTGGGTGGGGGATTTGCCTCTCTGGCTCTGTTGCCCCACGGTGGTTTCTGATAAAACACCCTAAAGAGCTGGCAGTTTGCAGGTGGAGGAGCTGGAGGGATCTGGGAGATGTTTTTGGGAGATGTTTTTGGGAGATGTTTTTGGGAGATGTTTTTGGGAGATGTTTTTTGGGAGATGTTTTTGTCAGAGAATTTGCTGTCCTGAGGCTCAGAGGGATGTGGCTTTAAGCAGGCAGTGATTTACAGCTGTGCTGAGATCAGTCTTGGCAGTTGTGAGAAGTCTTTGCTGACTTGCCTGTGTATTTAATTGAATGTAAAGCAGAAATCTTATTTATAACTGACATTTCAAATATCCCTGCCCTCCTGAACTCAGCATGACTTGCTAACACTGTGGTGATGCCCTTTGGCTTTCAGAGCACAGAAGAATACAATAAATGGAAGTTTTACAACAGCCCAAATCTCCTGGAGGTGCTGGAGGAGTTTCCCTCTGCTGAGGTGACCACAGCTTTCCTGCTGACCCAGCTGCCATTTTTGAAGCCCAGGTATTATTCTGTYAGCTCCTCCTGTGACATGACACCCAAAGAGATTCACCTGACAGTTGCAGTTGTAAACTACAGGACAAGAGGTAATGAGCTGTTGTTTTCATTTCTCTCCTAATTAAACACTATTTAGGCTACATTGCAGTTCAGAAAAAAAAAATGTGTCTGCCATACAATGTGAAGCATTTCTGTAATAAAATGTGTGTTGTCATATCTGCAGAATAGTGCAGGTGTTAATGCTGAGCCAAGATTTGCTAAAATCCTGCACCATCATCAGTTTATCATTGTTTTATAAATCATTACTAGACATCCATTTATTTAAAAGCTAYAATTTTAAGTATAAATTGTGCTTTTATTTTAAAGCTATAATTTTAAGAATAAATTGTGCTTTTTTAAAGACAGAGGGCTTTCAAGTGCTGACAGTRTTCTGCCTTGCTCTGCTTTTAGATGGAGAAGGGCCTTTCCACCATGGAGTCTGCAGCACGTGGCTGAACACGATAGAGCTCAATGAAACCATTCCCTGCTTCGTCCGCAGGTAAAGAAAATTCAACAAGAGCAGCTCTTAGTTCAGCTTCTTGAGTAGGTTTTKCTTTGTTTGGATATTTTCAAGTGACTGGTGATGCAAGTTGGAATTGTTGGGTCTGAGAAGAGAGGGAATTCCCTGTCTTCCAGAGATGAGATCCTTTATCATGCCTTACATTGAGTAAAATCACAAATCATTAGAAAATTGTGAAATAATTCCATTTTATGACCCCATCCCCCCTGTCAGCTTGTCCACGGCAGAGCAAAGAAAGGTGAGGGAACAAAAAGGGTAACTCAGTTCAGTCCCAACTGCTTTCAAACTGGGGCCTTGGGCTGCCCAGAGTCATTCAGGCACCTGAGACATCAGTCACAAACCATGACCTGAGGAACATTTTTTTGCATTTTAGTGCTAAAGAGTTCCACCTGCCTGCAGAGCCAGCCAAGCCCTGCATTCTGATCGGGGCAGGCACAGGGATTGCCCCMTTCAGGAGCTTCTGGCTGCAGCGTCTCTATGAGCAGGAAAACAGAGGTAAATGGGGGATTGGTATGGGTGGGGACA